GCAAGGAGGTTTTGTGACCCATGAGCTGCACTAGGCTTGGGCCCGAAAAGGCAGAGTCAACTCTGCCAGGACAGAACATCAAGTGACCCCATGAGCCAGCGCCCAGGAGTCTGCCCTCTCTGCCGCCTTCCCCACTGCTCTGGCACTTAGTTCTAGTGACGCTCCCTGCATTGAGCCAGACCCGTTAAGGAGAGGCAGAAACCATGGCAGAGGGAAATGAGAGTAGCCTAGAGGTGGGTTCCAGGTGGGAGGGGGCTGGCTGGGGGAGCAAAGTGATGAAATCGAAGAGGACTTGAGAGCAGACAAGACCCTTACCCAGCCCCAGCACTCCGGCATAATGTGCCTGTCATCTCCTAAGCATTTTCAGTAAACTGACTCTTCTAATCTAACAACAGGGTTGTTGGGCAGCACTACCCACAGCTGCCTGCCAGTTACTCGCACGGGGGAAAGTACTAACGACTCTGATCCCTTGCTGCTGCTAAGGATGGCAAAGAAGGGAACAGACAAATGTGAGAAGACCCAGGCGAACATGCAGCAGGGACCCAAAAGAGGAGGGGGCCAGGAGGAGGAGGACCCAGGAGGAGAGGGGGCCCAGGCACTGCTGGACTTCAAAGAGGGCCGTGGAGCACATGTGTCTGCCCACCTCAGGAGTCATACCGCCCAAATGCTGGCCCTTTTAATCCACAGTTGAGAAGTGCTGTGCACAGGCCAGGGGAGAAGGGGGTATCACATCCCCATTGGGGCTATGAGCCAGAAGGGCTGCTGGTCACTCTGACCACACTGACTCCACGTGCTGATGAGTAATTCCAATTCCCTGCAAAGTCAAAGCCATTACAGACCTAGGGATCAGAGCCAGCACCCGAGACAGAATCCAAGTCTCTCCCTCAGGATTCAGGGAAGATGATTCTGTCCCTGTGGCAGAGGGAACCTCTGGGGAGACATGAGGGTCCCCGCTCTGGGAAGGCGGGTGTGGGCTGTGGACTGCCTGGGTCCTGCCGACATCTCCCCTTCCACTTGTCTTTTTTTTTTTTTTTTTGAGACAGAGTCTCACTCTGTTCCTTAGGCTAGAGTGTCATGGTGTCAGCCTAGCTCACAGCAACCTCAAACTCCTGGGCTCAAGCGAACCTCCTGCCTCAGCCTCCTGAGTAGCTGGGACCACAGGCATGCGCTACCATGCCTGGCTAATTTTTTCTATATATTTTTAGTTGGACAATTAATTTCTTTCTATTTTTAGTAGAGACGGGGTCTTGCTCTGGCTCAGGCTGGTCTCGAACGCCTGAGCTCAAACGATCCGCCCACCTTGGCCTACCAGAGTGCTAGGACTACAGGCGTGAGCCACCGCGCCTGGCCTTCCACTTGTCTTTTTAAGAAGAAATCCAAGGAGCGTGGGCAAGGCTACTGGGATACCGGGCAAAGGAGGAGAGGAAGCAGGCGGCTTCCTCATGCCGTGTGTGTGTGTGGCGTGCCTACAGGAGCTGCATCTGCGACAATAAGCATGCCTGCACACAACAGGCCCGATCTTAAGGCAGGAACCAACGGGGGCTTGGCAGTGCAGTGGCCAGAAAGGGCCCCAAGGCCTCTTCTGGTCAAATCTGTGTGAGTGGCAGGGCCAGTGGCTCACGCCTATAATCCTAGTACCAAGGGAGGCCGAGGCAAATGATCGCTTGAGCTCAGGAGTATGAGACCAACCTGAGCAAGAGTGAGACCTTGTCTCTACTAAAAATAGAAAAATTAGCCGGGCATGGTGGCGCATGCCTGTACTCCCAGCTACTCAAGAGGCTGAGGCAGGAAGATGGCTTGAGCCCAGGAGTCTGAGGTTGCTGTGAGCTATGACGACACCATTGCACTCTACCTGGAGGGAAAGAGTAAGACTCTGCCTCAAAAAAATAAAAAAGAAAAAGAAAAAAATAGATATCTGTGTGAGCAAAGCCCAGCATGACGCCACCTTCCCAGTACAAAGCGAAAGTTCTCCGCAGCACACGGTCCCCAGGAGAGGACTCCGAGCTCCAGCCTGGCCCGGGTCTGGCAGTTTTTAGTCATCTGACCAGGGGTGGGGGCTGGTGCTCGAGAGGCCAGAGCAGAAGCCAAACAGTCCTAACACTGCTACTCAGCAGGACGCAAGCACTGAGGAACTTCTGGGGTCGTCAGGAGCTACAGACCCGGTCAGCACATGAGCTGGGGCTGCTCAACTGCCCCAGCCCCTGCAGGGTGCAGGTCAAGCTCTGGTCTGAACTGGGGGCCCCTGAAGCATGCCCATACGGCCCTCCTGGGCATGACGCCGTGCCCGGCCTGCTCTCAAGGGGGTGGCTTCTCCAGCCGCTCCCTTCTTCTCTGGCTGCCATGAGCTTCCCCAAGGCTCTGGGCGTCTCTCACCAGGCGGGGAGTGCAGGCCATCTTCCCAGTCCCTCACATGGAGGTGAAGTGACCAAAGCCAGCAGACAAGAGGCACTGTCAGTGACACCTCCTCTCAGAGTGACCTTGGCCTGAGCCCATGTGCCAATGTGAACAGAAGATGGGGGAAGAGTCCACAGAAAAGTGGAGGTGGGAGGGAAACAAATGCGTTTCCATGGGAACGGGTCTGTATGGGAGAGCTGGGGTGAAAGATGAAGAACAAGGCACGACCTACTGCCCCTTAACACATGGAACAGCCTGGTCCCTAAAAAACCCCGTGACCAACAGCCAGTGTCCCCCAAGAGACAGGCCTCCTAGCCGACTCCCCTCTGCTCCAAAACCACGGGGAAAAGGGCTCCCACCATTCCAGACCCCTCTGCCCTCTCTGCTGGTCACCGACAACCTCCCGAGACACTGAGAATGGCAAGTTCTGGAGGTGAGCAATGTACCAAGATGTTTTTTAAAAAGAAAAGAAAAAGGAGATCTGTTTTCACAATTTTTACACCAGAAACAGGCTGGCTCATCATGTGTGGTCCAGCTGGGAAAATGTTCCTCACACACGATCTCCGGCGAGTGTTCCTCGGCACACTCTGACAACAGTGGGTGGTTTGAAATTGACGACTCTGGTGTCCCAAATAACAGCTCCAACCACTGTCCCTCGGTGGCCTGTGGTCCCTGTCACATGGGGAGAGCCTGGCCCAGCTGCACCCGGCACTCACAAGGGAAGGAAAGGCATCCCGCCTCCTCCACAGCACCCTGTTCTCTCCGCCTGCCGCTCCCTGGAAGCACCGCCCCGAGGTGCTGGGGACAGAACAGCATCCTCTGGGCCTGGATCCCACCATTACAAACTGTCACAGACCCTTGGAGTCTGGCTGTCCAGTTCAGTCCCCAACTAAGGGCAGGAAGCCACCCCGCCACCCCTCCCTTAATTCCCCTGGTCAGTTCACATTCGGAGAAAAGTGTAGGCAAAGACAGGGCACAGAAATAAAGGCCCCCTTAAAAATGAGCACTTCCCAGGAAGGGGAAGGCGTTACAGGACACAGTGGAGAGTCAGACCTGGGGTGCAGAGCCCAGTCTTGCCGTTTTCCAGCTGTAGTAACCACTGAGTACTTCTCTGAGCCTCAGTTTCATCATCTGTTAAATGGGATAACTTCCACACATCTTATTTATAGCCACCGAAAGGATTAAGTGATTATTTTGGGGTCTTTAATGATAACGGGGAAATGCTCAGGCTAACTGCCACTCACGCCCCCAAGGCAGGCACCACCACATGCCATTGCTCATGTGAACAGCGACAGGGGACGGGAGAAAGGGGGAAGCAGCAGTCAGGGGTGGCACTGGGCTCTTCCCCAGTCCGGCCCTCAATGGTAGCATGAGGCAACATGCCTGAAGGACCTTACTGGGGAAATAACACAAACATTTCAGTCTAAAAAATAAGATTCCCCCCCACTCCTGCCCATTTGAACATGGAGCCCAGTAAAAAAACCCTGAGTGCAGCCTCCCAACAGAACAGAAGGGGGCGAGGCCGGGCAACCCCCCCAGGCTTAGGGGACTACACGCATGGCAGGTCTGCTCCCCACGTGGGTCGAGATCTAGCAAACGCTCTCAAACGGGGAACTCTGCACCTCCACCGTCAAACTCAGCAGAAAGGGCAGGCTGTGCTCCTGGAGCGTTCTGAGATGGTGCATGAGGAACTTACAAAGATATGCAAGGGGGCAAATATGCCCAAGTCGCTTTCAAACCTGCCTTTGATTTCAGAGGGACTGAGGGTGTGCACCTGCTGGTTGACAGGCTGTGAGCGCACGTGCGGGGCACCCTGGACACACTGGCATGACCAGCCCCTCTGCCTGGCTGGCCTCTGAGGTCAGACCTCATCCCAGGGTCACCTCCTCGAGAGGCCTTCCCGGACCGCTCCACAAAGGGAGCTCGCGGCCTGCTGCGCTTTTCCCACGGGGAAGGGTGGTGAGGGTCGTGTACGAGGTGCACCCCCGGGGCTCAGGGAGCACCCAGACCGTGGGAGGCTCTCGAGTGTCTGTCGGATACATGGATTACCAGACTCAGGTAAGACAGCCTTACATCCCAGGCCCACCACTTACTGGGTGCGTGAACTTGTGTAAGTTACTGTCAACCCATCTGTAAAAACGTCAAAACTGAGCTTATGGTGCAGTCAAAAACTGAGGGGCTTCTGAGACACACAGATTTGATGCCCTGGCCTTAGACACGCATCTTAATCTTTCTAACCCTTAATTTCTTCATCTGAAAAGTGGGGACTAAAATAGCTATCATGTGTGTGAAGATTTGAGATCCTGGGTGGGCAATGTCCGGCACCATGTCTTACACACACAGTAGGTACCTGCTGTCAGGAAGATTCAGGATGCAGAGTGACACGCAGCTAAGTATGCACAGAGCAGCACTCTGTGACTGAGTCATCTCATCACCCACCCAGTCATCAAGTGGTGCCCTGTGTCCTGCTACGGGCGGCTCAGAATTTTCGTTAGGTGGGCCAGGCAATAGATTTGAGGGAGACTACTTGGCCTGGCCACACTGTCACTTAGGATTTGCCTATCAACATCACAAGCGCTAAAGTGCACAGGGAGAAAGTAACTCACAGGTCTCGGTACTGGTCAAAGGCATTGTTGGCTTCTACCTCCAGCTTTCTCAGCCTAGCAGATGGCATGGCCCCATCTTCCAAAGGGGGGTCATACTTGTTACTCCATGGTGACCTGGAGGGAAGGAATGAGAAGGACATCACATGAATCGTGGCCTATGAGCAGTGAGCCCAAGCCCCAGCCGTTTGACATTTGAGAGGCAAAGCTGCTGCCTACAGCAAAGATTTTTCCAGGCCCTGGCAACAGACAGGGCTTTCTGGAGGTCTGCGGAGCAAGGGCTCAGATGCAGGTAGACTGGGGTATGCACCTGCGCCCCCTCACCTCTCGCCAGCTGTTTACTTTTTGCAAGTGTCTTAACTCTCTAAGCCACACCTTGCTCGTGTGTAAACGAGGCTACTATTTGCCGCCCACACAGCTGTTAGAAGGACAAAGGAGAAAAGTACGTCAAGTGCCTAGCCCAGAGCCTGACAGACTGTCAGTGCTGCGCAAATGTTAGTTCTTTCTTCTCCCATTTTCTAAGTTTCCTCAGTGTTCACCAGCTTAGTGGTCAACACATGCCTGTCTCTCCTTCCTGATTTGACAGAGGCTCTCGATAAACTTTTATTCCAAAGACCTCGTACAGCAAGTATTAAGAGAGCCGTCAGTTTCAGAAGCAGGCGAGAAACACAGCCCCACAGGGAAACGCTGATTACATTGGAACACTCGAGTGATCGTGTTCCCCACGTGGACAGCGGATAGCTTCTCCAACATCCCAGGGCTACGCACACACATAAAGACTGCGGAGTAATGAGAACCAGTCTTTTCGCAGCCTGAAGACCTGCTGCATTTCTTAAGATGTACTTTGCACATCAGGAAAGCATTTAATCACACAGAGCAGTGGAAAGGGGGTTCTAGGGAAAGATCTACTCATTAATTCCTGCAGGTGGGGTCAGAGGCTGGGTGTTCAGAGAAAGAAGGGGAATTTAAAAGGTGAGAGAGGAATGAAAAGGAGGAGAAGACAATATGGAATTCGGGAAAAGTCTTTTTATACTCTTGGTCTAAACACCTCGATGTTCCCCCTATCAGAAGCCCACACTGCCTTCCTCATTTCCCCTGCTGACAATAAACCTTTAAGCCACTGTGATGCGGGCCTGATGTTAAGGAAAAAAGGTATGATCACTGTCTCTTGAACCCCAGTTTTAAGGAATTCTGTGCAAAGACAAGATCTGCCAGGCACCTACGCCAGTAAATCACGTGGAGATGAAACAAGAATAAGCTGGACGACCTCTTCTACAAGCTGTCCCCAGATATCCTGGCTGGTCCACAAAGGCTAAGCAGAAGATTCGCTGTGCTTGGCGTCCCAGCAGGGTCTCCAGGCAGCAGTTACTGCAGACGCCCTGCCCTCATGCAGAAGGAGCCTTTGGAAACCCCTCTTTCCAAGCTGACCATTCTCCCGCTCACCCCGGCTTCGGCAGAGACTGCGCAAGTGGGGTGGAACCCTCGCCGCTGCCCCACAGCCAGCTCCTGTGGTCACACTGGACCAAGCACATGCCACGGGAAAGAAACTTTGAGCAAGCTGGGGCCCTGGCTTGGAAGACAGGTGTGACGCCAACACCAGGCACCCTCATATTCTCCCCGGCATGGGCCGCCGTGTCAGTTCCTGCCATCCGTCTTGCTCGGCCCTCTAACACAGTGCTGCTCGACAGAACTTTCTCCGATGGTGGAAATGTTCTAGATGTGCGTTGTCCATGATGGTAGTCACTAGCCACACCACATACTTGAATGTGGCTGGCACGACTAAGGGAGGTACTCAACTTTTAATTTTATTTAATCTGAATTAATTTAAATAGCCTATTCTAGAACCTCAGCTCCAAAGGGCAAGAGCCTTTCGTGTCTTGTTCTCTACAGCTGCCCAGCGCCTAGAACAGTACCTGGCACTCAACTACAACATGCGCATTTAGAAAAAAAAAAAATGTTGTTAAAAGAATAAATTGTTGCATGCTGTGCACCCCCACCAGCAGAAGTGACCCTCCTCCCTGGCCTCGCTCGCACACACGTGTCCACTGCCTGTGACATTCTCACCCTTCCCTCGCCCTACACCGTGAGAAGCCTGTGAGAGCAGAGAGCCCGTGCTGCCTGCTCTTGCGCCCCGGCACCGCTCCGAGTGGGTGCTCAGGGAATGCTGTGGATGGGCTGAAGCCTTGCAGCACGGGCAGGGAAGAAAGGACCCACAGGAATTCTGCTAGTGCCTCCAAACCAAGAGATGGAGCAACTTTTTGAGGACACCTAAACATTAAAAAAAAAAAAAAATCAACAAAGGCCTCTTACCGGATCTCAGAGAGGAAGATCCAGTTGATGGGTGCCCTTGCCATTATTTATTTGTGTAAAAGGTTTAGTTCCTCCACTCGCTGGGGGAGTGGACAAGAACTTGGGAGTGTGAACTTGAACTCCCGCCTTCCCCGACGCGCCCCGTGAGACGCTCCTCAGCACACGGCTAGGCTACGCAGGGCTGTTTTCGCAGTTAAACGGCCAGCGCCTTCCTGTGGGCCTGTAAGACCCACCCGAATGGCTCTCATTTACGGCAATCTGATGAGACACGAGAGCCCATCTCTCGCGCAGACTGGGGGCCTGCAATTTTCAAGAAGCCTGTAACTCACATTCCCCCTGGCTCACAGACGACAGCATTTCAGGCCGTTAGTCCTGGAGCCGGGGTAATTGTAGCTGGGGGAAAATCATAACATTACCCAGAATATTCTTAGTGGAAGGGGCACTCAGAACACATTTAAGAGCTTAAATGGAGGCCATTTGAAAAAAGACAGATGGGCAGGAACGCTTAGATTTTAAAAGTCAGCCCTTTCATTTCCCTCCGAGAAGGCTTTTTGTTTCAGCTAACAGGTTTCAAACAGTGCTGCTGGCAGTGGTCACACCATAAGGATCTTATTTAAGCAAACGATCAAACACGGTTAAGATGGAAACGTGTGGAGAGAATCAGAAGACCTTGAAGTTTCCTACCGAGAAGGGAGATGGAAAGACCAGCGCCCTGCCTCAGCACCCCGGGCTCCTCTCCAAAGGCCTGAGACCCGCCCCAGAGCAGGGCCACCTGGAGGGCCTGCAGGTACCAAGTCCCCAGGGCAGCCTGGCCTGGGCATGGACATGCATACAATCCCAGCAGAGCTGCTGCCTTACACAGCAAGCCAGAGTTTTCAGGTAGAAAAAGAATTATAATAATGACATTGATTAGGCAAGGCTCAGCTCAAGGGCTGCACCTTCCAGGAAGTGTTCTCAGAACCCCATGCCTGGCCAGGTGCGTCTCCATGGCAGTGTGTTCCCTATCACCTTCACTGGACATCTCTCTCCAATGGCTCGTCCACCCACTTCCTAGGAGGCTTCCAAAGACTGCACCTGGACGCCACACCTATGACCAGCACTGTGCCAGGTGCAGAATGAGCCCCTTCAGGGTAGGACTTCACCAACCCCAGAGTGGTAATACCATCTTCATGCTGGGACACCTGCGGTCACGCCTGCAGCCCAGATCCTTCCCCTGGCACTCCGGACCACACATCCAAGCCTCCCTGACATCTGCACTTCCACCTAATGGGCATCTCAAGCTTAATGTCCCTAAGCCTGCTCTTCCCAGAGTCCTCCTCTCCTTAATCAACAGTGGCCCAGGCCCAGAGGCCCAAGATCATGCTTCATACTCTTCCTTGTTCCACTCCACCCACCTTCATACTCTTCCTTGTTCCACTCCACCCACCTTCATACTCTTCCTTGTTCCACTCCACCCACCTTCATACTCTTCCTTGTTCCACTCCACCCACCTTCATACTCTTCCTTATTCCACTCCACCCACCTTCATACTCTTCCTTGTTCCACTCCACCCACCTTCATACTCTTCCTTGTTCCACTCCACCCACCTGCAAATGCTGCTGACTCCACCTTTAAAATTTACCTCCAATCTGAGCTATTCAACGCTAGTCTCTGGCCTAGATTAGGCTAAAGTACATCCCCTACCTAATTTCCATTTGATGCTAGGAAAGAGACATGATTATAAAACAGTTGTCTATTCTATTAGAAAGTCAGTATTAACTAAACCTTTTTAATATATGACAAGTTCTGTGCTATTCAGCATTTCACTCACGTTATTTCATGTTATTAATCCCTCCAGTAACCCTATGCTAAATGTTATTACCCTCAATCTGGCCTGCAAGACCCTGCCAGGTCTGCCCCTGCCACTCCTCGGCCCTCACCTCTGCCCACCCCCCCACACGGGGACTCTGGCCATCTGCCAGCTCGGTCCTGTCGATCACCACCCAGGGCCTTAGCACCCAGCAGCTCTCCCCACTTTCAGTTACCACTTACAGGAGAGCCTTCCCTGCCGACCTGTCCTGCCTCTCCCTCCCCTTGTCCTCTTTATTTTCTTTAGTAACACTTGCAGAATCCATTTTATTTATACATTTCCTTACTGTCTGGCTTCCCCATTAGGATACAGGCTCCACAGAAGAGAGACTTAAATTAACGCCTGGTATGTAGTACCTGCTTAAAGAAACATGCTACTGACCATTCTGTTGAGTGAATAAATACTATTATTTACATTTTACAGATGAGACAACTAAAGACCAGAGATGATAAGTGATTTGTCAAAGTCCCATCAATATAGGGAGCTGTGCTGGTTTGAAGCCCACGTTGGCCAACTCCAGATAATTTTTCCTGCTTGGACTTCACAGACGCTTGCTCCACCCCTCTTAAAAAAGAGTGTTAGGCTGAAGCTTCAAGACCCAGCCCAGGTTCTATGGTCTATAAATAAACCTAAAGCAGACTTTGTTCCTCTACCTCCGTACCTTCTCCAAGGTAGTGACAATAGCAATCCATCACGGAAATACTGGACTGTTTGGGAATTCCCATTCTTTTTTAATAGGAATAGCTTCTACATACCTTTAAAAACCTAGCTCAGACATCGAATCACCCCCTTAAGGAAGTCCTCCTGGAGTCAGCCATGGCCTCTTACATGCTGAGCCCATACCCTGAAGAGGCTCTGCGCTGGCTGCACGGATCACATCCCACAGTGATCGGTTACTCGATGCGCCTCCTGTTCTAGACCAGGTGACCAGCCGCCAGGGGCAGCGACTGGATGAGAAAGGAGGACTGCATGTTTCACAGAGCTGCGTTCCTATGTCCCCTAACCAGAGAGGGAGGCCCTGCCTGCCCTCAGGATCCTCATCCACGTACACCTGTACCTTGCTCTTTGCAAGACATGATACAATCACAATAGTTGTTTCTGGTAGCAACAACCCTCTCCCATTAGACCACAAGATCCATACAAGTGGGGGCCTTCTGTCTACTGCCATACTGCCAATGCTTGTTGGAGGCACTCCCCAAACTCCTGCTGGATGACCGGAATAACCGGTGAAAGGAGGAGAGGAATGTGAAGGGAAAGAGAGGAAAAGAGTGGAGGGCAGAGGACGACGGAAAGGGGAATGGGCTGGGCTGCCAGCCTGTCTGTGTCTAGTGGTCCTTGTGATGCTATAGCAGGCAGGAATGGCACTGAAGGATGGCAATCCCCTCTCGTAGCCCACATAAATTCTGGCCCCAGCGAGATGATGTGTTTCTTGCACATGGAGCAGCGGCCGAAGAGAGAGATGCACACCACTAACCCTGTGTACAACGTGCTTGTTTTTAGAATTCCTGGGGCACAACTCACCTATAGGAGTCCCCATCTCTGTTGTAGTCACACAAAAGGTAGTCCTTCCCCACCACCTTGTCTCTGGCAATTTTCAGTGGCTGGTCAACAGAAGACAGGAGATCTTCACACAGACCGGGAACCTGGCGGAGAGAAGGACAAGGCAGAAACCATGGTTAAAACAACACATCCGACTCAGGTTGGCTAATGATTTTGTAGCCATATTATGGTCAGTATATTTAACATATGGCCCTTGGTACCCTGCCAAAATTATGGGGCCTGTTCTTTTCTTTTCCACATGTGTCTGACACCAACTGTATCCCTCTATAAAGAAACCTATTCTTGAATTACAGTGGAGCGTGATTTCCAATACAGTCTTCCTTCCAAAAACTGTGTGCAGCTTTAATTACCTGGTCGCCAGGGTGGTCTAGTAAATTTAAGTGTGTATATGCTTGGTATTGGTCTCTGGTGGGCACAGTACAGGCCCAAGTCCTGAGAAGTAGGTAAACATTTCGAATACACAGGAATCCGAAGCACTCCGAGAAGAATAACTCATCCGTGCCGGAGAACTCCCACGGGCTCCCATGCTGGGTGGAGTTTCCAACAGTTTCCAGGCCCATGGCCAAACATTACCAGGATGGCTTGTAGAGTCACCCCTACTTGCAGCAAAGGTGGCTTCACGGCAGCCCTGCACAGCACAGAGCGCCGGGCCGGCTCCTCACTGGCTGACCCGCCGAGGGGCTGCCTCGCCAGGAAGGAGGGCCCCGTGGTCGAGCACCAGGACTGAGTCTTAGGGCCAACACTGCGGGTTCTGACACTCGGCCCCACTAGCAGTCGGGCCACTGGCCTCCTCCTCCCAACTCAAACATCAATTTCCACCAAAGTATTCCAGAAAGGGATGGCAGCACTCTCAGAAATGGATTCCTTCAGGCTTGAGTCACTTCCACGCTATATTTTCAATGTGCTGACTTATTCGCTTCATGGGCCTGGGGTTATGGGGGCCCCGTCGTATCATTTACCAGGCAGGTGGCTGCCAACTGCACCAATAACCCTTCCCGATGGAAAAGTTAAATTGCACGGCAAAGACAACAGCAGAGCAGCTTGGGAGAAGGGGCTGGCGGCTGCAGTGGTTCCTGTGTTTCTCCATAAGGCCCTTACCGCCACCCGAAAGACGGGAGCAGGCAGCCCCGCCACCACAGGGACCACCCAGCCTCTGCGGACCTTTCAGGGCACTTCGGCTGACCCTGGGGTGCTTTAGAACTCAGCTTGTAAAAGCACTGTCCGGCACAACCGAAGGATGACAACCCCATTCGTAGCCCGCGCAAATTCTGGCCCCAGCGAGATAATCTGTTTCTTGCACGTGCAGTAGCTCCCGAAGACAGATACACACACCACTAGCCCTGTGGACAATGTGCTTGTTTTTAGAAGTCCTTGTCCACACAACAGCCACCTGTGTACCTGCCCTCCCCAAACAGGTAACAAGATGGGCCCTACTTTCAAAGTTAGATTTGGTGATAATACCAAGACCCCTGCCATTTCCAAGCGCCTGCCACGTGTCACGCAGTGTGCTAGGCCCCTACATAGAGCGTGTTGTTCATGTGAAAGCTCGTGCTCATTGTGTGATGCACGTATGTACTATCTCCATTCTATAGTTATTAAGTTGCCCACGGGCCACACAAGAAGTGATGGTGGAGACAGAAATCAAACCCAGGACTAGACACCCCCACTCTGACTGTATCTCTGGTTTAATGTGCAGCAGAAGGGAAGGATAGCACATGCCAAAGGCATGCTCTGGTGGCACACAGCCCCCTCCTGGCCCTGCCCCTGCCTGGCTATGGCTGCAGAGCCCTTCACCTGGAAGGAATGCTGGCCGAGGAAAGGCGGCCTAGCAGCTCCCACCAGAGGCAGCCGGGACCTGGAAGTGGTCTTGCTGTGCTGTCACAGGCCCAGTGGAGTGACCCTAGGCCCCGTGTGCCGCCTATCTCTGTGCATCTTCGTTTATACTGCTGGGCTGTGCCTTGGCTTAGCTGTAGGGCCCCAACTTTTGCCTGAAACCTCATTCTGTCTGGTCAGGCCCTGACACTATCGGCCCAGTTTATTCTGGATTGTGGCAGGGACTAAGCACATTTTACTTCTCATCTAAGCATCATTTTACTTCTCTACTAAGACTTGCTTTCCTTACCTATAAAGTAGGGTAATGAAACCATGCCATGCGGGCATCAGCCCCATGTGATCTGAAGACCACATGAGATAATGCACTCAGCATTCGGGATGGCGCCCAGCACGTGGAAATGCATACATGCTAGTACCTGACACATTCTTAGTCTCACTCTCCTTTAGACCCGATACCATCTGTTGTCTGTCACTCTCAGACGCGATACAGGTCTGGATCACACCTGAATTCACTATGCTGCTTCAGCCACTGGATACAAATGGGCTATTGAGAATCCAGCTCTTAACGCCAGTACTGCCTGGTGCCAGCTGCCTCCCCTCCCTGCCAGCCACGCTGCTTGCAGCTAAGGCCCCCCTTCTAAGATAATGGGATTGGCTTAAAAGAGACTTAACTTCGCTCCTATCCAAGAGGCTAACCTATGGATCAGAAGTATTTCAGTAATTTCTTTCTAACACTTACACTGACTGATATTATTTTTTCATTTATCTGTTTTCTGTCCCTCTCAGTAGAATGTAAATTTTACCAGGGCAAGGGCTTCAATCTTATTCACTGCCATACGCTCAGCGCCTATGGCAGTGCTAGACACACGGCAAATGCTTCATGTATCCAGGAGGAAGGAGGGAGAAGAGGAATAGATGATTTTTATAACATGGAGCCTCCCCAACTCTAATCAACTTTATTTTAAAATTAATAAATTGGCATGCAATAAGAATCCTTACCAAAAGAGTTTGTTGTCAGGATCTAAAATTGGATGGAAGTCAATGACCATTATTCTCAAATATGAACCATGATATGGCAGCAAAGCACTAAACAAAGAGAACTGTAGCTTTAATTAAACCAGTCGCATTTTGTTAATATATGACCTGAAGGAGCTACAGCAATGGTGGGAAGATTGAGAACTGAGAGATGTGGGTCCCAGCCTCTGCTCTGCTGTGAACCAGCCATCTGTCAAACACAGTAGGTGAGCTACCTGGAGACACACCGCCCTTGAAGATCTATGCCTGGACTTTCACAGTCCACAGCCAGGTATTGACCAACCTCAGAACAACATACATTTAAACTGGAACTCAAAAACTGCGGCAATACACAGAAAAAACAGGGACCTCGAGAATGGCATGTGATTTGCCCTACCATGAAAAGCATCTAGGATTCGAATATGGCCAACTGGTTCCCCACCCAAGCAGGTATAGTTTTTGCCTTTCAGAAAAACTCTCAAGGTGGGCCATAGTTTTGTATTGTATTTCCATCAGTCCTGTTTCTTTGGATCAAAGATAAACTACTCTGGAATAACAATGTTATTGTCATCATGGGGAATGCGAAGTGTGGGATACAGGGTGTGCCCACAGACTTGTACCAGAGCAGCTGCCCAAAAGTGCGTCAGTCATAATCTGGCACCACCTAGCGATCCGTCTCGTACCCATATGACATCTCTCCACCTCTCTCTGCCTGAACGCCCATCCAGGTTTGCGCACAGTTCTTCCGCTTAAAAATTGTCCCCATTCATGGTCGCTGGATAAAATATGGCATGGCCCGTTAAATCTGAATCGCAGATACACAGTAAACAGTATCTGAGTACAACTCTGCCCCGCGTGTTTTTATTTGCTGACTCCAGCAATCTACCCGCACTGCCCTCTTAAATCCTACCCATCCTTCAGGGCCCTGCCCAAACTCCAACTTCTTTATCAAGATGTACAGTTCTTCAGAATTCTTGTAGTAACACTGGTATCAGTCAAATCCTAAACGCTTTCGGGATGGCTGTTCTGATACTGCCATTAGCTGCCACCTCACTCCTTCGCTGCCACTCAGCACAGTGCGTTGACGCCACACCTAGAGACCAAGATGGCCCTTGGCCCAGCACAGCACCACACCCCCTGCCGTGGGCTGCATCTGTGCTTCTTGATTCCATGGAAGTGGACGTTAATCCTGTGGTCTGAGGCCGCGCTACAGAAGCAGAAGCAAGGCGGTCTCCCTCTGTGACCTGACCAACCCCTACACGCACCTGAAGCCCTGCCCCCACCCCAGTCACGTCAAGTGCTCAGAGTGGTGGAAGGAATCACATTAAGTCTCACAGATCGTGAGTCTGCACAGCAGAGCCCGTGAAAGGACAGGTGCAAACGAAGCCGAGTTCACGTCTGGTGGGGTGTGCGTGGCACTGGCTCGGCTGCCCCGAAGCCTAGGAGGGCCTTTGGTGAGGAGCAGCGGAGCCGGCACGTGGCGGCCGGGTGGTTTCTGTCCAAACCACCCATCTGAGCCGCCTAACAGCCTTGTAAGGAATGCTCAGATAACACCAAGGGTGTCAGACCGATCTAGGCTGTTGGGGGATTTAAACTTAATTCCCAGTGACTTGGAATAATAAACACCGCTCTGGCCAGGACGGTGTTCACTGTCTCGCTGGTGAGGTCCAGGCCTCCCCTGGCTCCTTTGCTGCCACAGAGGAGCACGGCCACACCCTAGGGAGGAGCCGCACATCCTTCACTACTGACACCCTCAACCGGATTGCTGGTGCCCCAGGGGCCACCAGAAAGACAGGGGGAAAGGAGATGAAGCGAACTAGGGCAGGGAGAAGGTAGGGAGAGGCTGGGATGCCACTAGCAACTGCCTCAGGTGACATCTGAACAATGCTGAGGCTGAGACGAGGACATGTGAGCACTAACACCCGGCACTGCTCGCCAGGCCCCTGCTCTATCAGCTCTGCCCACACTCCTCCGACCCTCAGAACTGCTCCACGCAGATAAGCACTTCCGCCCTTACTGTAAAGAAGGGGCAGGTTAGAGAAACAACCTGCCCAAACTCACACAGCTGCTGGCCAATGTCTAAGGACGGACATGTAGCTACAGTACAGTTAGGTCCAGAGAAATAACATTCCTGCTTTTGCCCAAACCGAACACTTCCCTACTATCTAACTCAGCAGCTGATCACATGAAAAGAGATACAAATCAGAAGTTTCCGGCCACAAGTGAGGTTTGTGTT